GTCAAATCAGCATTCAGAATAGCGCATAGAACGAGAAACCGCAAGCCAAGATCTGTTCTGCCTTTGCTGATGTCGTAACGCCGCTCACCGCCACCCCCTTCCTGCCCACCTCACACTTAACAACGTATAAGCAGTCATTCCATTGCTCAGCCCAACAAGATTAAAATGCTGTTCATGCAGCAGGGTGCATTAGTTGGAAAAGTGACTTCAGAAGCCTAGTTATGATACTCCAAAGCCAAGCTTGTCTGAATTGCCGATACAAGCGAAGATGCGAGTTCCAGGAGTTGGTTGGTCGGAAGAAGAAGAAGAAGCGATCGATGGAACAAGGGCTTTATTCTTCTGACGTTTCGGATTCTAATTTGAACTTATCATCAGAGGCAGTGGCAGAAAAGGGTGGCTCGTGCACAGGAAATTGCACTATTTCTAGAATGCAGTCGCTATGCTGCTGCATACCTATGTTAATTAGCCGTTCTCTCTTTCATCGATTATTGTTGCCCGCTGGTGCGCTAATGGCTTGATGACCGGCATGCAAGTTGTTAATCGATGAAATCTCATCACCCGTGTTGGATGAGGCCGGAATTCTCGCGAGGGGATAATCGCGTGAGTCGCGAATTGCTTGAGTCATGGTTCGCGGGAGCTCAGTCTATCAACAAGTGCAACGACGTCCCCACTCCATATTCCGTGCTGAGGCATAGGCTGGCCAAAGTAATTGACCACTCGGGGAGCGCGCAAGCCGGTAAGTCAGATGACCGAGCAATCATCACGCCAGCATCCAACACGGGTGATGAGATCTCGGCCATTAACAACTTGCATGCCGACCATCAAGCAATTAGCGCACCAGCGGGCAACAATCCTTGATGAAAGGGAGAGCACTTAATTACTAGAGGTATGCGGTAGCATAGCGACTGCATTCTATAAATACTGCAATTTCCTGTGCCCTAATCACCCCTTTCTGTCACTGTCTCTGATGAAGAGTTCAAGTGAGAATCCGAAACGTCGGGCGAATAAGTCTCTTGTTCCAGCGATTGCTCCTTCTTCTGATCAGCTTGTGTGAATTATTGGTGGTACAGTCGGCTTAGGTTGACAGTTTTTAGCTTTCCCCCGCCCCCTCGCCACTGTCAAATCTTTGCTCTCTCCCTCTCTTTCTCTCGGCCAGACGCCGCTGCAGCCCTATGACCGCTGGCTCCACTTTCGCCGAACCCAGCTAGCGTCCAAATTTTTATTTACTCCACCCCCATCCTTATAAAAATCCGTTCAGTTC